ARSCCCCMTCTGAATKGCTGTKACGCACATTCTGGGCTACATGAGTRCAGGTTSCCTATCTTAGAGACTCCCCTTCATTATSKGCATGAAATKAAAKGACAGCTGTGATCTCCCTCCCTTAAGAAAAGTGACTCAGACTCAACAGATTTGTCTAGAAGACTCTCCTCTGGAAAGTGAAGGACTTTGGACAAASRACACACAGRAAAGCTGCTCACTCACTTGGGTGRAYGGACAGTCTGGTCCCTGAGCCARAAGTCAGCTTGTAGGCAGAACYAKARTCACACAGCATTTYCTCCCTTAACAAAAATCTTCCCCACCACTGTCTGGTGACACTGGTCACCCACGGCCCAGCCAGGCAGGGATGAATGTCACAAGGATTCAGCCACAGCCTGGAGTGGAGAACTCCCATGATCTGATGGCRGCATCAAGGGCACTGTAATASCTAAAAGCRGCCATCTGCCACAGGCACACCTTYCCAGCAACCCAGATTTCCAGCTCCAAGAGGTAACTTTCCCAAAACTGTGGCGCTCAAAACAAGCAAGAGCAAGACAGAAATGAAGCAATTCCACTCTCCAGTGGACACTCAAGGACTTTGGACAAAGAACACACAGGAAAGCTGCTCACTCACTGGGCTGGATGGACAGTCTGGTCCCTGAGCCAAAAGTCACCTTGTACATGCCAGAACTATAATGACACAGCGTTTCCTCCCTTAACAAAATCCTTCCCCACCACCTGGCAACACTGGTCACCCACAGCCCAACCAGAAAGGGATGAATGCCACAAGGATTCAGCCACAGCCTAGAGTGAAGGACTCCCATGATCTGATGGCAGCGTCAAAGGCACTATTGGACCTACAAGTCCCCACTGCCACTCATTTTCTGGGCTCAACAAGTGGGTATCTCATCCAGGCTCCCCATTTTAAAGACTCCTCAGCATCATCTGCAAGAAATGAAATGACAGCTGTGATCACCTTTTCCTAAGAAAAATTACTCAGATTCAAAAAAATTGTATAGAAGACTCTACAATGGACACTCCAGGACTCTGGACAAACGACACACAGGAAAGCTGCTCACTCACTGGGCTGGACGGACAGTCTGGTCCCTGAGCCAAAGGTCAGCTTGTTCAAGCCAGAACTAAAATCACACAGCATTTCCTCCCTTAACAAAATCCTTCCCCACCACCTGGTGACACTGGTCACCCACAGCCCAACCAGACAGGGATGAATGTCACAAGGATTCAGCCACAGCCTGGAGTGAGGGACTCTCATGATCTGATGGCAGTGTCAAAGGCACTGGTGGATCTACAAGTACAAGCTCCCATCTGAATGACTGCTACTCATGTTCTGGGCTCAACAAGTGCAGGTTCTCCATCTCAGAGACTCCTCTGTATCTTCTGCATTAAATGAAATGACAGCTGTGATCTTCCTCCCTTAAGAAAAGTAACTCAGACATAACAGATTTGTCTAGAAGACTCTCCACTGGACAATCAAGGATTTTGGACAAAGGACACACAGGAAAGCTGCTCACTCACTGGGCTGGACGGATAGTCTGGTCCCTGAGACAAAGGTCAGCTTGTTGTAGCCAGAACTAAAATCACACAGCATTTCCTCCCTTAACAAAAACCCTTCCCACCACCTGGTGACACTGGTCACCCACAGCCCAACCAGACAGGGATGAATGTCACAAGGATTCAGCCACAGCCTGGAGTGAGGGACTCCCATGATCTGATGACAGCATCAAAGGCACTGTCGGACCTGCAAGCCCACATCTGCCACTCATTTTCTGGGCTCAACAAGTGCGTATCTCAAATAGGTTGCCCATTTCAGAGGCTCCTCTGCATCATCTACATTAAATGAAATGAGAGCTGTAATCTCCCTCCCTTAAGAAAAGTGACTCAAATACAACTGATTTGTCTAGAAGACCCTCCACTGGACACTCGAGGATATTGGACAATCAACACACAGGAAAGCTGCTCACTCACTGGGCTGGACGGACAGTCTGGTCCCTGAGCCAAAGATCACCTTGTAGTTTCTGTCACACAGCATTTCCTCCCATAACAAAAAACCAACAAAGCCTCTGCAGAGCAGTTCCTCTCCACCAGCCTTTGCCCAGCCATGCCAGAGCTGAGAAACACAAATCCCCTGTGTCTGTATCCCTCCCCCTGGACTTGTGTTTATGATCAAAGGTGCAGAAG